AAAAAAAATGGAGCAATTAGCCATCTTTAAGAGATTATTTTAGGTTCTTTATGTGCCCCACATACTTCTCTCAGATCAAAGTCTGCCTGAAAGTGGCATTTCAGATTTCCGGATTTACTAGCTTGTCCAACTACAAACGCTATTTTTAAAACTCAAAAAATAAGGTCTCTGTTCTAAAGTACTATTAATATGCATACAAACATGCTCATAAAAATACACATACACACACCTCTGTTGACAGTCTATTAGAAACTGTGTTCTCCAAAGCAGATGAGCAATACAGCTGTAAGGTACTGAGAACTGGCAAGGACTGTGAAACTGTTAGGGTAGAAAGTCTCAGTGGTCCAATAGCGATGCGGGACGTTTGCTTCAAATACTTTACCACGTTTCTGAAACAAAACACTCACTGTCAATCAGTTAATGAAATTTTTCAACTTGTAACCACTGAAGAAATAAAGCAGCTGATAAGAAGCTACCACACTAGCATCCAAAGTTGGGGGAAGCAAGAGCCGCAGCCAGCTCTGTACTAAAATGATATTATCAAGTCAAGACATTTGATTTCAGGGGTTTTTACATTTTATTTTCAACTTCAGTCAGTGCTGGCAAGTGGCGTTCACATATCATATTGCTTCTATGATGAAAATAAAGCTATTAGCACTAGTATTTAGCATTAATATAATCTAATAACTCTCTCCCTTTCAGCCCTCTCCACCCCATGTCATTTATCATATGATATACATGATGTATATTTACCTCCTTAAGATTAAACTTACTCAGTTATAGACTGCCACTTCTGATCTTGATCTATGTGGTTTAAAGCAGTTGCCAAACAAACAGAACTTCTCAACAATTGAACTTCAATGGATTTCTGAAGTTCCCTTGGATCTGGACTTAACATGTTAGGAAGCAGTTTTTTCATATCTACAGAAGTCAAATAAATTTCATTATGTTAATTAGCTTTTATTGTACAAGAGTGATAATATATTTTGATAAACACTGGATAATGAATAACAATACCTCTTTTCATATATAAGTTCAGGCAGCTAAACACTACAATTAAGGATTTCTTATAGCTATATAAGAATCATTACCTCATATAAAATTACTATACCTCAGACCCCTAAAAATCAGTTGCCTTCAAAGGCTCAAAAATCATTATATCAACCTACTATATAAGGGTGCAAATCAAGACCTAAATAGCAGATCTTACTGAATCTAGCAAATTAATACTAACACACAGAAAACTCATAAAACTTTAATATAACACTTTACAAACTGTTCCACTTGTGATAAAGAACTTAATGAGCCACAGAACTTAATGAGCCACAAGATGAAAATCAAGAAAAAATTTAATTTTTTATAGAAAAATATTTAGCTTAAACACCATAGTTTTTCAAACAAAATGGCTAGAAAAAAGTACTAATGTAGCCTTTTTTAAAGTTTGTTTAATCTTAATTAAACTGTTTTTCATTTGCCAAAACAAATGCAAATAGAACAGCCCTAAATTTGTTATTTCTCATGGGACTCTGCCCCCCAAATAAATGTAAAATGCCTTCCTGATTTTCCAGTAAAATATACTAAGCCAAACATTTTGAGCAACTTGCCCACAAAAATTATTAACTTTAAAATTATTTTCTCAAATACCTATTTTTTCTTTTGATCCTCCAGCAAGTAGATTGATATTTTCTCCTGGTAACAATTCTAACTGCTCGGTACATTCAACAAATTCTCCAGACTCAAAACTGCTTAGTGATCTGTAATTACAATATTGGTTAGCTTGTATTACACCCTATCCAGCCTATAGAACCATTCAAAAAAATAGAACAAATTCCAGAAAGACAGCACAGCATACAGCACTCTTCTGAAGAAATTCCTTCCACAAATATGCCA